TTTTTTAAGATTTTATTTGGCCCAGCCCTATTGGCCTCTTTGGCTCGGTCCCTACTGGGCCGGGCCCCATGCAAAGTAGGGCCATGGTCGGCCTTTATATTTATCAAAAAGCTCATGACATCGGAAAGAGAGCGTTATCAACTGGATGAGCATAGCTATTTTAGCCAAAGTATTACTTGGTGATTCTATTGATATGGCTAAATATAATAGCCTTCCTTGAAAATAACTATCGAAGAATCTTTTCCATAATATTGCTCCATTCCTAAGGGCTTTGCACCATTTTATGAAGTTGGCCTAGTCTCCTTCAATGACTAGTTTATTATACTGTTGTTGTAGCCTAGAGACACCGTGTCTGAGGGCCGATAACCCAGCTTCATTAGCCCCACAATGAGGGTCCATAACTCCAACTTAATTAGCCCCACAAGGATGAAGCACACCCTGGTAGGACTATAAAATTAAATAAAAATTGTCTTGTAAAAGAACTCCATAACTAGCCCTGTCTCCATTATGCCTTACACTCCCAACAAAATTTAATTTCACGAGATCCTTTGGCGTAGGCTATTACGCAAAAGGATTAATAATCTTAGCACCCTTGAGAAAGAGCATATCCTTAGCACCCTTGAGAAATAGCATATCTTTTAATTTTGTGGAGTCCATTGAAGATCTTGTATTTATCATTTATAGGAAGTGTATATTTTTTAGGTATATCACTTAGGGTTATGTTAGGGTACTCATACTATGGAGTAATTTATCATTGTCCTTAACAAATTTTGGACACTTTTATACCCTTATTTTGTGCATAGAGCATTTTTTTTAATACAAGTATTTTTGGTAATTAGGAAGGGTTTGACGTTATCCATATGGGGTGTGACATTACCCACATGGAGTACACTTGTGTTATTTAATGCTCCATGCGGGTGATGTTACATCCCATGTAGATGACGTCATAACTCTCCTAATTACCAAAAATACTCTTACTAAAAGAAACTTCGCGTATAAAACAAAGGTATATAAGTGTCAAAATTTTATTTAATACAATGATAAATTACTATAAAATATGAGCACCCTAACATAAATTAATCCATGCCACCTTTTTTTTTTTTTAGTGTTGCATCCATGCCACCTATTACTATACAAAATCGCTCTCTTTTTAATGCAAGGAACTTTTGGGCTCATTGTTTAGTTTCTTGACATAGCAACCATTACCTTGGGTCGTGGTGAAAATGGAACTCCAGGTGCCATGTTGTGGCACCTACCATCTTGAACACTTTTACTTGGAACCAATCTCAACACTTGATCCAGTCTTAAGAGATCTTGTTTGGATGAAACATGATTTTTGTCCAAAAAGGCACAAAAGAACTATCATTTCTTCACTCTTTCTTGTTTAAAGCTAATAAATCTCAAGGTCCCAATTGGAATAAGGCTTGTAGTCAGTCATCGTAGAACTTTGTCACATTTTATCAAAATATTGAACCTATGTTATAAAATGAAGGAATAAAACTCATGTAGCCGACACTAAAGAACTGGGATAAGGCTTGGATGATGATGATGTCTCAATTAAGCTACATAATCGATGCATACACGTAAGAATTCAATGTAATTTGTTCATTTTGAATGAAATTTTAAATTGAAAAGAGATATTAGGGTTGCGTTTGATAACTTTCTTTACAGTTTCTCTGAGATTCTCTCTGTTGCTGACTTTCCTAGATTCTGGAAAGCAGATGAAAATTTGTAGCTTGAACGCTATGAACACTATTTGATAAATTGTAGTATTGTATTTTCACCTATTTGGCATTAGAAAAGTTTTTGGGATTCTCCTTGTTGCTGACTTTCCTAGATTCTGGGAAGGTAGAAGAAAATGTAGCTCGAAAGCTAAAAAACTGTTTGATGAAACGTGATGCTAGTATTTTCACTTGTTTGGTATTAGCAAAGTTAGTATATATATATATATATATATATTTATTGATGGTTTGCAGCTTTTTCCAAAAGTAGCAGCATAGGGGTAGTGAAATGGGGAAAAAAATTATGTTGACTTTTTTCAATTTTACTGTCCTCAAACAGGTAAAAACCACTACAGGAAAAAGTGTGAGACTTTCTCCAATTTTCTCCGTTATCAAACGCACCCTAGATGTCTAAGATGCGACCTTTGATCATGGGTATGACTAAAGAAAGGAAACTCGAGATTTTGGGAAAAGAAGTTGTAGTCGAAGAGAATATTAATGTGAGAGATGCGTTGAAAAGATATGTAGAGTGGAGTAAGAGACAGGTTTTGAGAGTTGGAGCTAGCAAAGAGTCGTGTAGTGGAAGAGAATATTAGCCTGAGAGATACCTTGAAACTCAAATTTTAAGTAGACAAAAGCACAAGACAGATTTTGCGACTTGTACTTGACAAAGAAGTTGCAGTGAGTTGAGAGATGCCCTCAAAAAGTTCAAATGCTATCTAGACTAAGTACAAGAGACTGATTTTGAGACGGTTAAAATAAACTTTAGGGCAAATTACATTAGATTTTTTAGACAACCTACCCTCAACAAAGTTTTTGTTTTTTTAGTAATTTTTATCTCAAATTGAATTTTTCTAGCAAATACCCCTCAAGTAAAAAACTTATATTTTTTTGACGAAAAATGCCCGTAGTGCTGGATCACCTCCATTTTGTGTCGGACCGCATGTCCAAAGTGTTGGACTGTCCCTATTTTGTATCTGACCGCATGTTTTTTAGAAGCCCAAAGTGCTATGCCACGGACCGCATGCCTAAAGTACCGTACCGCCCCTATTTTGTGACAGACCGCATGCTTTCTAAAAGCAATGTGTTGGACTGCCCCTGTTTTGTGCCGGACCGCATGCCCAAAGGGTTGGACCCCTACTATTTTGTGCTGGACCCCTACTATTTTGTGCTGGACCTCCTCCATTTTGTGCTGGACCGGACCCCCAAAGGGCCGGACCCCCACTATTTTGTGCCGGACCCCATGTTTTCTAGAGAGTATTTTGATATTTATTTTATTTTTTTTATGACTTGAGGGGTATTTGTTAACAAAGTTAAATTTGAGGTAAAAAGTGAGAAAAATATTTTAGTTAGGGATAAGATGGATAAAAAGTCTATTCTAGGGCGTCATTTATAATTTCCCCTAAACTTTAAAGACCTTTCATTGATAGTCTTCTTTGTTTAGCTCTTAAGGGTGGGTATCATGCACATCTAAAAAAAAGAGCTAAAATGTTATTCCTCTTTAGGACATTGGAAGCCAACCTCAATTTTATTTGTTGGGTTCTTATACTGACCCGATTTAGTTGGAATGGGCTGTATTTGATCTTACAACTCCAAAAAGAGTTTTAAAATTTTACAACCCTAAGAAGAGTTTTACTGATTAATCATATTGACTTCCAGATATATGAATAAAAAAAAAAAAATTCAAGTCATAAAAATAGTGCATATTATAACATATTATCTGAAAGGTCGATTATCAAGATTTTCAAGTGTTTGTAGATTTATTCGATCAATATCCTTTTTGAAACATTAAATTTTATAATTAAAAATAAAATAAAAATTTCAAAGGGAAAATATCTATTATGGGGTTAAAACCCCTTACAGAGCCACTAAAGGCATCAAATCATCGCAACTTACATCTGCATGTTTACTTTTAAATTTTTATTTTAATCAGGTACTTTCTCATAACAACATTTACCCCTTACAAAGCCACTAAAGGCATCAAATCATCACAAATTATATTTGCATGTTTGTTTAAGGTTGATACCTCGTACATATTCCGCAGAAATACAAAATAGAAAGAGGTTAAAATATGGGCGGATGCTTTACCCAAAAAAAAGTAAAGCCTCACCTTGAAACTCATTGGAAATTATAAACCTAAATCATATAGGCTTCAAATCAATCATGTCAATCTTGATAATTATGGTTGTAAATAAAATAAGAATTTTTAGCTATAAAAATAGTGTATCATGTAACACATTATCTAGACCGTTAATTTTTAAGTATTCATAGATTCATAAGATCTATACCATATTTTAAGCCATAAATTTCATAATCGGTATTGGACATAGATTTTAGAGTCATCTTAAGAAATATTTAGAGTGATTTACATACTGATCCTAAATTTTTAGGTAAAATACAAAATGTTCCACTTATACACATAAATTACAAAGGTCAGTCAACCCACTTTTCTTTTTTTTTTTTTTCAAAATTGCACCTCTGTCAACTTGAATTTTAATTTTTCCGTTTTAGTTTTTTCATGAGTAGGGCATTGTCTTAAATCTTGGGGCTCTGTCCTACTAACAAAAAATCTAAAAAGTAGTAAAAAAAAAAATCAAAATTCAATTTGACTGTAGGGCAAATTTGAAAAAAATAAAAACAAAAGCGAGTTAACCGATCTTCTTTGTAATCTCAGCTTATAAGCTGACCATTTTATATTGGGAAAATATCTCTATATCCTTTATTTTTAAGTTTTATTTCTTTATAAACCCAAATTTTCAAAAAATATCTTCCAACCCTTAACCACTTTAAACTTATTTTTTAACCTAAACAAATGTAAAAAAAACATGTTATTTCTAAACTTAATCATTTTTCTTTTTTCACTTATCCAAACTTTTCTCTTTCTCTCTTCTTATGTCTCTCTCACTCACTCTCTCTCCTCCATGATTCTCCAAACACCTCTCTCTCATTCAGGTAACCTCTCACATCCATGAAGCCCGTCTCTCTCTCTCTAGAAGTTTGGGAGGCTCACATTTAGAAAAGACTTATTTTTAGATTTGTTTGGCCCAAAAAAGCAAGTTTATATTACCTTTGAAGATAGAAAAAATAAAATCTACATTTTTAATGCCTTAAGATATCTTACTTAAAATAAAAAATATAAACATATTTTCCCTTTTATGTTTCACGAACGTAAGTCACTCAAATTTTTATGTATTTCCAAACAAGATTTCGCTTTACTCTATAAAATACAATTACTATATCTGAATTTTGATAATAAAATAGAGCTTTTCCTAAATTTCCCTTCATATTTTGAGTGAGCCAGTGCATAGGGCGCGGTTTTCAAACTCTCTGCGCGCAAATCTTTACGCTGGCCTGCTTCCATTCCTCTGCATGCATGTGGACACCTATTGAGTGTGAAGGGAGAGAACGCATGACCCTTCTCTTTCTCTTATTTAATTAAGTCTCTCTCTTTCCCCTGCAACATGTGAAGATGATGGGGGAGCAACTTTTTGAAAACAAGCAAAACAACGCCTGCTTCTTAAGCATTTTCTTTCCCGACAGTGATATGTTGGGGATAATCAAGTCTTGATTGATTCCCTTTTGCTACCTCTGTGTGCTATTTCCAATTGTTCATCACCCCCTTCTGCTTTTTTCATGTCTGTTGTGGGGAAGCTCTTAACTTGTTTAGGCTTCTCTCTTATAAAGGGTAAAGCCTAATTATACGAATTCACAACACCACTTTCCTTTTGTACCATGGCGCTTCTCTCTTCCTCTCTCTCTCTTCCCCATCATCCATTGCTCTACTTCCCTACCAAGTCCATTCCTTTAGATTTCTCTCTCTCTGCAACTGCCAACTCCCATGATTCTTCTCCTCTGGTATATACTACTCCCCATGCTTTTAGATTTTGGTTGGGTCCTCTATTTTGCACTTCTGTGCTATACTCAATATTTGGTTATCTCTCTAACGGTTCTGAAACTTGGGTGTCTGATTTTTCGACCGCAATTCCCTGTTTTTCAGATGCAGGGGTCAAAGATTGAGAGGATCAGGGGATTGTTTGAGCATATGAAGCTCTCTGTATCGGCGTATGATACGGCCTGGGTTGCCATGGTTCCATCTCTCTCTTCCTCTAATGGCGCTTCTCCTCTGTTCCCTGAGTGTTTAACATGGGTGTTGGAGAACCAATATCCGAATGGCTCTTGGGGTCTCTGTAACAACCATCCTCACTTGATCAAAGACTCACTCACTTCTACATTGGCATGTACTCTCTCTCTCAAGAAATGGAACATCGGCGAGGATTATATCAATAGAGGTAAGTAAGAATTCACGTTATCTTTGCTCCTAAGAATTCACGTTATCTTTGCTCCTTCTCCATTGTGAATAATATAGAGTTTCTTTAGTGTTTAATTTTTTCTTCATTTACTTGTTTGCAGGGTTGAATTTCATTGGTTCGAATATCAAGTTTGCTGATGATGAGAACCAGCTTTCCCCAATTGGGTTTGATGTTATATTTGGGGGATTGCTAGGAAATGCCATAGAATTGGGTTTGAATTTACCTTTCTCTACCCATTTTATTGAGACCATGCTGCTTAAACATAGTTCTGAAATTCGAAGGTGTGTTCTTTTTTATGGTCTCATCTTTACTGTCTCTGAATATCATGCCATGCTAGAATCCTACTTTGCTTGAATTCTAACTTACATGCTAATGTACAGGATATTGAAAAATCCATTGTCCTTCATACTATAGTATGTTTTCCTATTGAAAATTGTGTAGTAATAGACAACCCTTTAAAAGCAGTTAACGTGGAGGATCATGTGGGGTGCAACAACAACGATGTTTTTCACATCACCCCCTAGTTGCAAACGCTTTCATTTAAAGTTAGCAAAACTTTCTGTTGGGAGCTGGTGGATTGGGAGATCCATTTTACTTTCTGGTCTACCACCATTGATCATCTTCTGGTAATTCTGTATGCCAATGGGATTCTAATGCCTGTTATTAGCCACATTCTTTTTGCTCTTGAATGGGGTTTTCAGGATGAAATCTTGATGATTCTTGCAATTAATTTTGTTTTAAGCCAACTAGCCATTGGTGAAATGGGTGTGAACCATGGTTTAGAAAATCATCATATTGCACTTGCACTACTTGGATGGACCTAGATAAACAATTTCCAAGCTTTTAAAGGTCAACGAGAGAGAATGCACTGGTTCTCTTAAATGTTTAACTTGCTATTCTACCTGGTCCTTGTATAAGAAAATGGTCAGCCATTGGCAGTGCCTCATCTCTACTAGGTCCATTCTAAAAATCTAAATTGAAAGAGTAAGTGGATCTGGCTTCATGAATCTCCAAGATCCTATTTTGGTGGGTCCAAATACAGTAAAATTGTGAGTCATGTGTTTTGGATGAACTCACCCAGCAGTGTCCACTTTGTCATAGCTGCTTTTTCCTTTTCAAAATTTAAACAACAGGTGATCTCCATAATAAAGGCTTTAAATTTCCAAAATGTCTTTGTCACTAATCCACACAAAACATTGAAAGCCAATATCTGCATTACTTGTCCAAGAAAAACTATTTTGCTATATCCCTTTGCCTTGGAAATGATCTTTGAGGAAATATTGGATATCATAAGCAGCTACCAATGCCTGTAGAGAGGCCACCTTTACCCATGTCTGGAGAGAGGCCAACTCAGCAGCTGATGCACTAGCCCAAGATGGGGTGATTGCTCAAAATACAGATATCTTTCAACACAGTTTGGGATGTGAGGCCCTGCTGCGTTTTGTGCTCTTTTGCATTTTTCCTATTTTATTGTATACCCAACCCCTGGTTGTTTGGGTGGTGCAAACCTGGTAAATGTTGCATTGTACAAACTGACCCAATGTATAAAAAGAGTTAGAGCTTATTTTACATTTTCATAAATAATATAATATATCATCTTTAAAAAGAAAAATGCTGATGCCTTGAATGATTCAAAAGAAATAGTAGACCATCTTTTTCTTCGATTATTTTTAAGATAGAAGTCATGTAAGAATGTGCTAGCCTTGTTTGGGTTGTCCTTGCACCTATTCATTCTAGACGCATGTTAAACACTGGAAATTGTCTCACTAGAATAATTGAGGATTCTCAATATGGACCATTTTTCCTACTTCTCTCTGGAGCAAATGGAAGGGAAAATAAGATATTTTTAAGTGAACTAGATTATGCAGCATGGAGGATATCAGAGGAGGTAGTTTAGCAGATCAAGCAACATGGAAAGAACGGACTAGATTATGCAGCACGGAGAAAATCAGAGGAGGTAGTTTAGTCGATCAAGCAACATGGAAAGAACACACCAAACCTTCGTGTTTTACCTGATGCTAGATGGTTGTCGTTGAAAGATCCTAAGGATGACTGGGAAGAACTGAAGAATAGTGTCTCTTCGACCTGGATTTTGAGTGTAAAGTTTTATAGTTGCTTGAAGGGAAACCTGAGACCAACAAGGGGAGAATGGGTTGTTAGATATGTTGATGGAAGATTGTGGACTGCTTCTGAGGTCACCTTGGCACACAGATTCTACATGGCTATATATGCCTCCATCATTCCTCCACTGAACCAGAAGCATTACAGAGTTTTGTTATTACTTAATTGCCTTGAATGCAAAACCTTTAATGTTATTAGAGGACTCCATGGAAATGGATTCCTTGGGACTTAGTTAAATCCTTGCAGAATTTCTTATCTTGCAAATAAGGAATTTTGGGGGCATACAAGGCTGAACATTAGGCAGCGAGTGGTAAGTATATAACAACAAGCTAGTCTGGCTCGTATACTACAGCGCTTGGTCAAACCGGCAAGCCTAACACTCGGCCCAGGAACAGGAATTAGTAACCTGTCCTATAAGCCTTCCAACTGTATGTATAAATAGGACTGATGCATTAGTCCATTGGGATTTAGAGCCACCATAGTATTTTGCTCCTTACACAACTATGGGTATCAATAGAGCTATATTTTCCTGCCGGCATTTGGATCCATTAAGGTTCTTCAGTACATGTAGTTTTGTGACTTTGAACTTCGCTGTGCTTTTATATGGTGAAATCTACAGTTGTTACGATAAAAGAAACGAAATTTAAAACTAATGGAAACCTGCCCTTAGGTTATATGTCGGGGCGGGCTGCTGTGCCTCTGCCCTGAACTTCATGATTTGGGGGGCAGAACCCGGCGTGAGCGCACGCATTGGGTGAGTGAACGTGTGGGGAGGCGGGCGAGACATGTCAAATAAAATGTCCAAGAAAGCCATTCAAACACTTTCTTAGTAAAAATCTCGCATTGGATCCCGGGTTGGTGTACCTGAAAGCCCACTGGTGCATCGACGAAGCCTGCGGGGTTGGGGTTGGGGTTGGGGTTCGTGGTCGCTTATTTGGCCTGGTTGTTTTAAGGGCAGTTGCGGGTTGTTGTATTTGTCCAGTGGAAAAACATTTACAATCATCACTTGGAAAAGGACATCCATGCTAGTAGCTTGCTAAAAAAAAATCATCCTCATATCTGCGCCCAATGTAGCCTTAAGTCATCTAGAAAGCCGTCACCATCTCTGATTGTATGGGCTTTGTCATGCTTTCATCGAGTCTTATTGTCCTTAAGTTTGAAACAGAATTTTTTTTTTTGGTGTCATTTTTATCAAAGCTATACTTTGTCATGTCAAACTCCCACCTATCGGAATATTCAAGTGCATATTTTTTTATTCCACCTTCAGGTTATCTGGAAGCAATATTGAGAGAGACATGGCCTATCTAGCTTATATTGCAGAGGGATGTAGCAAATTACTTGAGCGGGAGAAGCTTTTAAAATATCAACAGAAGAATGGTTCTCTATTTAATTCTCCGTCTGCGACCGCAGCTGCCTTCACCCACTTCCACGATTCTAAATGCCAAGATTACTTGCATCAACTCTTAGAAAAGATCGGCAATGGAGGTAACTCTGACCCCAAATTATTGTCATGAGAGCTGATGTAAAAGTAACTATGCACGAACTATGTATGGTATATGGTTCTTGACCAAGGAATCCACAATCAATTTTCAGCGATGCATGATGGAGATTAGTTTTAGCCAAGTTGCTGTAAATCATCAGGAAATACAGTAGTCTTCATCATTACATAGTTGACAATCAAGAGTGGATACTCTGGTTGTTTACCATGTATTGTGTATGGTATGCTGTTCATTATCCCTAGGATTTGCAGTTGTCATATTGTGATTCTTTAAACTGGTTATGTGGCAGTCCCTGCAACTTATCCTTTCGATATCTATACTCGTCTATATATGGTTGACTGTGTTGAGAGATTAGGAGTTGCAAGGCATTTTGGGGATGAAATTAGCGTAATTCTGGATGATACCTATAGGTAAGAGTGTATAGTGATTAAAAATTTTCATGCTAGTTTAGAATGCATAACTATTTGAAAAACTTGGCTTGCTCTTATTGTGTGGCAGATGCTGGCTAGACAACGACGAGGAGTTATTTTCAGATATTTCAACAACTGCTATGTCATTTCGGCTTCTTAGGATGAATGGCTACGATGTTTCCTCTGGTATATTCTAACTGACCTATGGAGAGAGAGAGAGAGAGAGAGAGAGAGAGAGGAGGGAGGGAGGGAGGGAGGGAGGGAGGAGAGTAGTAGTAGCGACACTTAACTTAATTTAAGTTTAAGTTAAGAACGTACTTACTTTCCTATTAGTTGTCGTCGTCGACGAGTACGTCGTCCGTCGTACTTACTTAACGA